TCTCTTATTTCTTTAATCAAACACTGAAATTTTATATTTTTGTTAAATAAACCAAACACAATAATATAATATTTTTAATAATATATCATGTAATATTATATTTCAATAATTTTATTTTCTAAAATAATATTATATTTGATGAACCAAATACCTAAAAGTGAGTTTGAGTTTGATTTCTCTTCCTCATTGGGTTTTGAATTTTTGGTTTAGGTGAGGGTTGTTGCAGGGGAGATGAGTGTGTTCATATCTTTTACGTAAAGGACAAGAGCAAAATCTCGAGAGTGACGCGTTCATCTCACACACCAATCAAAATCAATCACGCAGTGAACTTGCCCTCCTTTCAGATATATCATTTTTTTTAAACTGCGGTCACTTATTTATTTATTTATTTATTCTTAATTTCCGTATGTTAGATGTCATGTTTGTCGGTTTTATGCCATTTGGACTTTGTGAAAGATTGCTTACCATTTTTTATTTCATTTTTTATTACAATATTTGTCGTGTATGTTGACTTGTTATATTCAAGACAAAATATTTTATTATATCTAATTAAATTTGATTACAATTAAAAAATATTTTTTATAGAAACATATTTTAATAATAATTTACAAATAGAGTTGTATGAAAATTTCATATGAATAAATATATTATGGGTTCAAATCTTTAAAAGTTGAGTTATATTAGAAAAATATTTAAAATAGTAAAAGATAAAAATATTTATATAATAATGTTAACTATTTATTAAATAAATGATTTCTTTTATATTTTCAAATGAATTGACATTGATTACTCCTTAATCAAAGGTTTAAATACAATGTATATAAATAATAAATTAATTATTAATGATGAAGTCTAAATATTGTATAAATGGTTACGCTAACTATCTACATTTAATTTATTAAATTCAATATCATTTCCATGTTTCAATAAATATATCATTTCCCTGTTTCTAGAAATCCTTCTCAAATGTTCGAACTCCCAAAAAATAATTCCTCACAACACAAAAAGAATCATGCCTATTTTTCTTGATATATATATATATATATATATATTATATTTAATATATTTATGAATATATAATTTATTAATTATTTAACTTAAATCAAATATAATAAAATTTGTTATTAAAATTATAACACCCCAACCCGTACCCAACCCGGATTCAAGTCCAAGATGTCACATTGACATTTCAAAACCTTTATTTTTGTAAAATAACTGAACATTTGAACTTATATTAAGAAAATATGATCATATATTGTTCAATTGTGTTTGGTATAAAATTTTGAGATAAACACGTATTTATGAACAGTGAAATAATGTATGAACAGTATCGTGAACAGTAATGAACATTAATGAACCGTGCCATGAACAGTGCTCAAAATTTTGAAGCAAAATTGTGCATCGATGCAGTGTTATAGTGACTTTCGTAAAACGTTCATTAAACTTGTAAACATTTAACCGTTCATTACTATACAATTGTCATTTACATAAACATGTTTAAAACATTACAAAACTCAATCGTATGACTTTTCAAAACCGATTATAACATATCGTATTTAATCTTTTATTTACATGCCAACCACTTTCTTTATTACAAAATACATATTATACATTTCTTTTATGGCCTAATCTTTGGAAAGGAGAGCTGACCTGTCTTGCATAACTCTTATCAATCTTCCTCTTCTCAAAACCTACGCGTGAAACAATCACAAGCTAAGTCTACGACTTAGTAAGGCATATAAACATATAATATAACCATATAACTTTTCGTATAAACAAAATGTATACATTTGTAAATACTATCATTAATCCCTTTTTCTTACCATATATTCATCATATAACACATATATCACTATACTAAGGAATAACATATCATCATGTAATCTTATTAGCTAACGCTAACTCTTTCTTCTGTAGTACAAACCTTTATCATGTCCACACTATTGCTTATACATAGTATTATCCATTTATTTCATTATCCATTTATTTCAAATCCATAATTCTTATTTCATTCATCTTACAAACGTATCACTTATGCACTTATTATTGAACTCTTCTACAAATTCTAACCACGTCATTTGATCTTTTAACGTTCTTATGGTGACATTTGTTCACCATATTTTATCTTATCCACGTAATAACGAAACTTCTTAATTTAACTTCACCACTTTGGAGAAATGAAAACCTTCTAACATTATCTTCATATCATTTATCCAAAGGTCTGTAACAACAGAACCTTCCCCACATTCATTCTTGAGCTCGGGTGCTCATAACTCTTTTAACTATTTCGATACATTCATTTTATGAGTTAACGAAGTATATAATTGAAAACTCATCGGAATATCATTCAACATCATGAATCATTCTCTAATCTTATACAGGCATTCCCTGAGGTTTTCGCTTTTCTCCCTGTCTGGCCTTGGCATGTGAATGCTATTACCTTCAGGTCTATCGCCTTGTGCTTCACTTTGGAAGCTCTCATATATTCATGTGCTCATATCATTTCTTCTATCACATATCACGTGTGCATATGATCATTCAATTCATATCATATAACATATGTCATTTGCATATGTTCACATATCATCTATCATATCATATAAACATATATATCTCATAAACACATCATTTTCATACCTTTATCATATAACTCATATAACTTTTCCTGCATATTCATGTCACATAATTTATATGGTATGAACTCATATCATGTTTCATAATATGAAATGAATCATATATCAAAGTATTAAATCTAGACTTATCACAAGTCTATAACTGAATATACTACTATAATCATGCTATGAATATGCACTCACCTTAGCCTTGCTTGCTTTGATTCAATCCTAACTATTTGATTGCTCCGTAACTTGTTTAGGCTCGATATCTACATAAATATAATTTCCTAGATGATTATCAAAAGCCTAAACCTTATAACTTGATGTTAATAACTCAAGCTAGTTTAATGAACCAAAATTTCATTTCTCCTTCAGGGGTGTATCGATGCACTATGGGTGCATCGGTACACAAAATAACTTCGAACTTCAATGCATCGATGCACCCCTTAATGCATCGATGCATATTAAAAAATTATCTTAGTGCATCGATACATACTCATAGTGTATCGATGCACCTGTCCAAAATAGCTCGAAATTCATCAATACTTCACCCAATTTTCATGTATAAAATCCTTATCATGCTACTAATTTCATCCAAATTCTTAAGGCTAAGAATCATACCAAATTTCCCATGTTATCCAAACATAATTCTAACACTTCTAATTTCTTATTCTCATAGATGACGAGTCAAATTCATCATCCAAATTCAAACCTTCTTATTCAAAATTCTACATAAAAACCCATTTTCTTTAATCTTTCGTAACTTTTTCATCTTTTGATTTTAAGATAACTTAAGCTTTCCTTAAGCTTAGTTATCATATAATGATCAAAATACACTCTTAAAATTAACAAATAATCAACAAAATATAAAACTCACCTTTGCTCTAGCTTGGGCACGTTGGAGACGAGAAGAAGATAAGTTTGGAAACTTATCTCTTCACATATGCATCACATGGGGTATTATAATACCCACTAAAATTTATTTAATTATTTTTTTATTCAATGACCTATTTGCCCTTTGACTCTTTCAATAATTACTAACAACCCTTCAGGAAATACTTTCAAATAAATCATTGAACTTTTCAATTTTTCCACTTTAATCACCAAATTTTGGAATTTTACAATTTGATCACTAACCCGTAGTTTGGGATGTTACAAAAATAATTCTTTTAATCTAATTTATTTTATTTATAACATAAAATTTTAAATCCTTAAACAAAACTTAAAATTTAATTTACTTAAAAGATATAACGTTACATCTAATTAATATTTAATTATAATTTTCAATAACACTTGAAATCTTGAGTTTCTATACCCTCCAAGAAAATATTAAATAAATAACAATAACATCAAATAAATTAAAATTTTATTAATCACACATTGATATATATAAGAGTGAAATCAGAAATTTATTGAAGGGGTCAAAATACTTTTTTATTTATTATAAATATAATTTCTTCAATTGAATGATTAGGTAAAACTTATTTTATTTATTTTTTAAAAATATTATTTTTTTTACAATTTATTAATATTAAAAAAATTAATTGACAGGAACCAAGACTCTTATTAGTCCATGCCTAATTCCGCTCATGAATATATATATATATATAATTAAAAATAATTAAAGAAAATGTTCAACCTCTCATCCACTTTCTTAACCCATAAAGATGCTTTGAAGGACTTGTTAAGGAATTAACCACTCCCAAAACTTATTGCCTGGTATTTTATTTCATTATTCGATCAACAGATTGGTGAAAAAACATGTCTAAAACCTAAAAAAAACGTGTTTTATTGCAGAGACATTGTCGGATGTTGTACCTCTGAGGACAATTGAAGCCAAAGAAGATGTTGGTCTCTCCTAGTTTCAGAGTGAGATAGTTCAGCTGGCAGCTATTCTTAACGGCGACCATTTCTTAAGCAGCTTCCCAAATAAGATGAGCAAGAAAATGACAGTAAAGAAGAAGAAGCCACATCAGCAAAAAATAGGAAAGTTAACGGATGATTAAATGCCACATCAACGAAATCTAACAGAAAATTACGGCAGGAACCGAAATGAAAATAAATTAAAATTTAATGATTATATTACAAGTTTTAAAAATTCGATGATCAAAATATAAATACCCTAAAAATTCATGAACTATTTATATACTTTACTCTTAATCAAATTCCAACCGTAATCGAAAAACAAAACAAAACAGAAATTAATGTCATGTAATATTCTCTCATTACAAATTTTTAAAAATAAATTTCTAAAATATTTAAAATGTAATTAAAATTATATAGCATTTTTATATAATATTATAATGTACAATAATAACAATAACATAAAATTCATCAGACCTGTTGGCCACGGATTAAATTCCTTAATCACTGTTTTAATAGCTACTTAATCGAGCTGCCCCCTTTCCTCCACCTTAATCGGGAAGCCACCTTTCATCTTAGCAGTAAGATAGGCGACAAACACCGGCTGAAACCCTTCTTCCACCGCCGACTCCACCTTGAACCGCCGTAAAATACCGGCCACCAACCTCTTCATCTGCAAGAATGCCATCTCCTTCCCTAAACAAATCCTGGGTCCGGCTTGAAACACCGGATAAGTATACGGATCTCTGCCGACAAAGCCCCGCTTCCCCGCCTCGTCTCTTTGCAACCATCTCTCCGGGTTGAACTCCGCCCAATCCGATCCCCATATCTTCTCCATCCTCCCCATCGCGTAAGGAGCATAAGTCAACAATGTTCCTTTCTTCACCACCGTCCCGTCCGGCAAAACATCGTCCTCCACCGCCAGTTTTGAATCCGTAGGGACCGGAGGGTACAATCTCATGGCCTCGCAAAGCGAAGCGTGAATGTAAACCATGTCTTTAACTTCCTCGTAAACCGGCATATCGGATTTCTCTTTGATTTCTTTGAGGATTTCTTTCTCCACTTCAGGGTGTTTGTGTATTAACCAGAAAAACCAAGTCAATGCCGCCGATGTTGTGTCGCGACCGGCGAGTATGAAGCTGATTACTATATCCGTGGCGAAATCCTCGTCTGAATGGCCGGAGGCTAAAAACCTTGATAATAGATCAACCGATTCCAAAGACGAATTATTGGCCAATTCCTGCTTCTTTTCCCTCACGATCTTCTTCGCAAAGTCGCGGACTTGGGAGATGGCGATTTTGAGTTTCTTCTCGGACCCAACATTGAAGAATCGCTTCATTCTCCAGGTTATAGAAAGAGGAGTACGGAACCTTTGGCTACTTAGATGAGTAGCATCTTCAAACGCATCTGCAAACTGGGATTGCGGCAAAGAAGGTAAAAGGCAGGCCGGATCATACCCGAAAGCGATCTTGCAAACGTTGTCAAACGCGAATCTCTGAAGAACATCCTGCAAGTCGATAACAGTCTTCCCTGAAGCAGCGTCGGAGAGCGTCGGAATCAAACGGTCGTGAAGCTCGGTATCAACAACGGTTTCCACAAATTTACGAAGAGATTTCGTGTTGAACTCGTGACTCGAAACTTGCCTCTCGAACTTCCAAGACTCCCCATCGACGTTGAAGATACCGTTGCCGAGAAAATCAAAGAAAACGTTAATAAAGAAATAGCCTTTGGGGTAGTTGTTGAAGTGGGTCTTGAGAATATGCTGGACGTTGTCGGGGTTAGCAGTTAAGATCTGATGATAGCCGAAGACGAGGTGGAGAGTGTAAGTTGCAGAGGGGCAGTTCTGGAGGATCTGCGTGATCCACTGGACTCGGTTGCTTTGATTGGATACGATGGCGAAAATGGAACCGATTATCGGGTAACGCTTGGGTAAAACATCGGACTTGGTTGAAGATTTCTGGGATTTGGAGCCTTTGTTGAGAATGAACCAGAGAAGTGGGAGAGTGAGGAAGAAGATGATGATTAAGGGTAACAGCTGGATAAACATTGTAATAATTGGGGTTGAGGTTATCTCAGAAGGGAGGAAACCGGGGAGAGAGAGAGATTCGTAATATATATACATATATATATATATATCCATATACGTGCGTGTCAAAAGAACAGATTATTGCTTAGAAGATAAGCACGACAGTGTTCAAGAGTTATTCAACTATATCTACTTTTCAGGATCTGGGTTATGGATGACCAATGAACAAGAAAGTGTTTTTTTTTCTTTTTTTAAAATGGAGCCCATGATACTATTGGTGGGCCACAGACCTAATTTTAATGTGTAAAATAATATGTAGTGCCAAAAACAAATTTATCCTCTAAGATTTACAATATAATGAAGGGTAAATTTAGTATCTAATTATTATTATTATTATTATTTTATTTTGATCATTTAACTATTTTTAACGGTGAATGATTAAAATAAAATCAAAATATAATATTAGATATGATTTTAAAAAATAATTGAATGATTAAAATGAAATAATATAATATTTATCGTATTAAATGTATAGTTTATCCTATAATAAACTTATTGATTTTTGTTATAAAAAATGTTGGTCACTTAAAAAAAATTAATTTTAAATAATTATATCTATAAAATAGATGTACATCATCAATAATAATAATTTTTTAATAATGACAAGTAGATTTTATATCTATAAAACATACATGTCCGTTTAATATTGAAGATTCAAACAATTTAAATATTATATAGAAACCCTAAAATCATAACCAACAAAATCATTTTTTTAATAATGACAAGTAGATTTTATTAATAGGAATAATATAAAGAATTATAATTACAACATGTTCAAGCATAGAGAGAAAAAAATAAGGATAATAATTATAAAAATTCATACAAAAACAAAAATATTAAATTCATATATACGGAAAAAAGAATCATTCTCTTGAGAATGACGTGTAACATTAAAAGAGTTTAGTAACCTTTATAAAAACTCTTTATCGTTATCGAACGAGGTGTTTTACGAAGTGATAAAAGAGTGATGAGCGAATCAAACTATTTGGCATGTTGCTTTGTTGCAAAATTCTGATTATATCAGTAAACAACATTTTATCAAAGAGGAGATTTAACTATACGTAACCACCGATAAATCAATCAGAAAACAAATACTGTGAGGGTCTTCGTGCAAGCACCAAAACGACCGCAAAGATATGTAAAAAAACGTATCAAAAATCGTAAGGAACGTGACACAAGAGTAGAAAAAAATATGTACATAAATTTTATTTATTTAAAATCAAATGAAAAAAATTTAAAATAAAAGAAAAACAAGAGACATGGTATAAAAAAAATAAGAGAATTAATTATATCAACAGTAGATAACAAACAATTAAATTGATGTTGTCGATGATTAAATGAAAATTAAAGAAAGAAAAAAGAACCTAAGGAAGGCAGATAAGATGTATTAAAATCTTCAAATAACAAAATTGTTATTCTAGAAGGAAAACAATGGTATAATAAAATTTATATATCCAATTTAACTCATGCCTATTTAAACTTGTTCTGGAAAGAAACAAATCCTAATACATCGTGTCTATGATTTCTCTTTTTTGAATTAAAAGAGATAATGTTTGAAAAAAAGAAAAAGTAAAACAGAAAATAATTGATGCAGAAATCGTAAGCAAAGTCGTCACCTTCAAACTTCTCATTTCCAACCATGGTTTTTAGAATAGGACTGGTAGTTCATTGGTTCAAGCGATCGAATTGGTTGAATCGATTTGATCGGTCGAAATAATCGGACGATGTCATAATTATTTAAAAAATTAAATAAAAATATCAAAAATATTTAATAAAAAATATTTTTTTATATCACAAGTCATATTCAAAGCAAATCATAACATATATAAGTTAAAAACCATAAAATCAAGTGAAACAAAATGATTCGAATTAACTACAATATAATATTTAAGGTAAAACATATTAAATAATAAATATAATTATATAACTATAATTAAAAAATAAATTTGGGGTTAAAAAAATCATAACAAAATGATATTGTTTGGTCTAATTTTTTTAAAAAACAATCCCACATGGCTAAGAAACATAGAAGAATGTCCCAAAAGTCTAAAGAGTAAAAATATAAGAACAAAACAATCTCATATTGCTAAGAAACATAGAAGCGCATCACAACTAACTTCTATAAATAATAGAGGTAATTTGACATTCAAAATCATGGAGCCTTTTGGTGAGCATTGAGTGAACTATTCTTTCACTTCAATCAAGCTCGAATTTTAGGCTTCAATCGAGCTTCTAACATTTTTTAGTTCAAGTTTCAATATTATATTTTGAGTTTGAGTTTTACTTGATAATTTTTAGCTTGTGAGTTTGAGTTGAGTTGAGCTTACTTTTAAAGTTTTCAAGTTCGAGTCGAGCTAAGCAATACTCGAGTTCGACTTGGCTCGTTTAACAAACGACGTTGTTTGGTTTAATTTTTTTTAAAAATAAAAAAACAAAAATCCCGGTTTTTCTCGGTTTTCAGCCGGTCCAGTTCGAACGGTTCAACGATTCTGGCCGGTTCACTAATAGCGGTTCAATCGGTTTAGATTGAACCGGATTAAGCAACGGTTCCCGGTTGAACCGGCCGGTCTAGTCCGGTTTTCAAAACAGAGTGTCCAACACAACATGCATAATCTAAAAATATTTTTTTTAAATTATTAAGTGATTTTAGTAATAAAATAAAATAATATTTTTTCTAGAGATCATAGATTCAAAAAATTATATTTGTAAGAAGTATATGTTTACAATAAATTAAGAGAAAATAACCTCAGTGACAAAAAATGCCTTATAATATACGATTTTAACCAACTTTTTTTGGATTTGCCAAAATGACCAACTAAATCGCAATGCGATTGATAATTCGCAACGCGATCTCCGATATCGCAAATCAATTTTCAGATTCGCAACGCGATTCTGACTATCGCATTGCGATTTTCCAAATTCGCGTTGCGATTTTCCTAATTCGCAATGCGAATACGTAAATCGCAACGGAAATCTGACTATCGCAACGAGATTCTGACTATCGCAACGAGATTCTGACTATTGCAATACTGAATTTCAAATTCGCAACTCGATTTCTGAATTCGCAACAGGTTTTAGTTTCACAACACAAATGTTTTGGGTATATAACTACGCAACAGCAGCAACTCATAACCTAAATCTTTAAATCGTAACTCATTCCATCTCTATCTATCACTCTCTCCGGCGATATACGTTCCTATATCCAACGACATCCTTCCCCATCCGGCAACAGGTTTTAGTTTCGCAGCTCGTTTCTTTAGTAAATTAATTTACAATAATAAAATCATCTAATGTTGATAATGTTTGGATATATTTGTGTTTTGGAGGGTCATGGGAGAATGTTCATGGTGTTTTACAATATATGCCTTTACCCATGAATCTTCAACTAAAATTGTCATTAAAAAAGTTAACTTATGAAACTCTAATGTTACGTGTTACAAATAAATTGAATTTAGAGCATCTAAGTGGATTTAGGCTATCTTATCAGAGAAATGGTAAAGTTTATTTGTTAACCGACAATGAAGATGTTGAACGATTCATTGCTTACATTAGTGTTTCAAGTGATGATGTTACATTGTATTTTGTTGAACCTAGAAGTAGTGAAGTTGGGTCAGTAGTGGGTAGTAATCAACTAAGTTTTTCAACCCCAGTTTATGGTGCTCAAAATTTAATGGTTCTACCACAATTTCATCACCAAGCAAATATTGTTTCACCACATTTCCAATACCAAACACAATCTCAAAACCCACAACCTTTCCCTAATCCAAATCCCAATCAACTTTCAGCACCAAATTCCGGTTTTCGTATTGACCAGTTAGACGATGATGAGCCAACAGAAAAAAATTATGAGTACTAGTCAGTATTCCAAATTTGATCTTGGTCAATACCCGGACTTTGATCTTGGTCAATACTCGGATTTTGACGATTTTTCAGAAGAAGAAACAGGCCCTGCGTATAATGATTTTGATATTGGTCAATACCCGAATTTTGATGATGAAACAGCCGTTACCGAGGAAGATGTTGTTGATGATAATGAGGAGGAAGTTACGACTGTAAATGAACATGTTGAACATCCATTTTGTAATTCATATAACCCTGAAGAAAAAAAAGAAGAAGAAAAAATCCCTAAAGAAAAATCCCCGAAGAAAATGCCACGAGAGTATAACTGGAATATGCCAGAATTACTTCAGATACCGGAAGAAGAGTTGGTAAAGATAGCAGTTGATTGTTACACAAAAATTATTCGTATCAAGAAAGATGATTGTTTTGATACAAAGGAAGACTTGAAGATAGCTTTGTATACGAAATGTGTGGAAGATGGCTATCAACTAAAAGTTAACAAATCAAGCAAAGATCGTTTCGAAACAAGGTGTATGATTGACAAAAACTGTACGTGGTGTATGATTGCAAAGAGGATAAAAGATTGTGAAATGTTTCAAGTTAGGACATTTATTAATAAACATACATGTTCAAGAACCCAAGTTTTTCCTCACCATAGACAGGCAAACAAAAAGGTGTGGGTGGTTTTCTGGCTGAGTTAATGTTTTTGAATGGCATGGTATATCGGGGACATGAAATTATGACTGACATGAATGCTCGGTTCAAGATTAGTATCTCATATTCTCAAGCTTGGAGAGCCAAATGTTATTCCTTGGAATTGTTGAGGGGGTCGCCAGAAGCATCGTTTGCCCAACTACCAGCTTATTGTCACAATTTAAAGCTGAAAAATCCTGGGTCGGTAACTCATATCAAAACAGATAGAGATGGACGTTTTGAGTTGCTGTTTATCGCCATTGGTGCTGCGGTTAGTAAATCAATATAATTTTGTTGACTCATTTTTGTTAGTTACATGCATTTCACATTTAAATGATTATATTTCTTGTGTATATGATTTTGTAGATTCGTTCGTTTATTACTTGCATGGGCCCAGTTATTATAGTTGACGGAGCGCATTTAAAAGGTCGATACCTTGGAGTAAACTTATTAGCAGTAGCCATGGATGCTAACAA